GGCCATGGTTGTTTTAGTAATCGACCTCAATGCCAGCTATGTGGAAAGTAGGGTCATCTAGTTCATAAATGCTATTATGGTTTTAATGAATCCTTTCAGGGATCTTTTTCTGATTATGGCGACTCACGCGGTGGTGCTGGTTCTCGATCGAGAGGTTTTGATCAAAGCGAGACTCGTGTTCTCAGTCAACAGATCTCCACGCCCTCTATGTTTGCAGCTCAGCCAATAACCCATCAAGTGTTGGCTCATTTTTTTGGTCCTACTGGATCTGGTGGGTTGTCATCAGTTAGTGGTTATGGATTGAGTGTTCGTTTTTCAAATAGAAGGCCATACTTGTGTGGCTCAATCACTAGTTTGAGAATGCTCCTTTTACCAATCAACACTCCATTAATGGTTCTCCAAGGTTTTTTTATACTTCACATGCAGTGCCACAAGTTTTAGTTGTTTCAGTTCCTGTTTCTATCGTTTCCTCTTCTCAGTCTCCTCAATCTTCGTTTAGTTCTCAACAGTTTGCTTCGTCTGGTTTTCCTGCGTCGTTGAACTCTACCATGGGCAAAGAAGTCGAAATTGAAGTAATTTACTCTTATAACAATTTAGACTGTAAATTGAATTTTGTTAATTGAACTATGAGAATGTGAGCATGTTGTCTCCACTTCTGTAAACTTGTGTTTTGGATCAACCTTCAAGCCCTAAACTATCTTAAATAAGGATAAACTATCTTGTCAGTCATTCAATTTTAGTTTTCTTATGGAACTTGTTATTAAACAATAAATTAATTTAATTTTAGCTATAAACTTTTAGCACTTATATCTCTATTTGAGAGAGAGTTTGTTCCAGTAGTGAAGACAAATTATATCTCTATTTAATTTATCCATCCACGAATAACATTTTAATTTCCTCGATTATTTCATTGGGTGTAAAAAACAATTAAAGCACCCCAATCAGAATCATTTCCGTCATTAGATGGTTATAATATTTTCATTTTAATGGAATCCAAGTGGCACAGCAAGACAGGAGAATAAATAATCTAAAGGGCAGTTAGAATTTGGCCAAACCAGCTTTGAAATTGGAAAATGGCGATGCAATTGCGAAGCGGCGGCGACGGCGTCTTCCTCTCGCAATGGTCACCGCAGCCAGTGTCCGATTCCAACAATCATCGTAGCAATAGGAATGCCCGGTTGCTAGTTGCGGCTGAGACCCGGCGGAGATCGCGATTCCTCGGCCTTGTCCATTGCAGCAGAAGCAGCGGTAACGGAAACAGCGATGCTAAAATGGGAGTCCCTAATTCGAACTACGTCGTGCCTCTCAACAAGTCCTTCTCCCCTTCCAACTCCTCCTACATCACTCGTCCACTCGTCGAAATCCTTCGCGACCTCAACAAGCGTATCCCTGATAACGTCGTCAAGCCCCCTTCGAACTCTTCTTCTTACACCTTTATCCCCTGGTACTATCGCTGCTTACTTCTATTTTTGAATTTCGGAATCTTCTTATTCATGTTCCAATTGATCTGATCTGACCGGATCTGCTTTGATCGCCGCAGGTACCATGCCAATCGCATGTTGAGCTTCTACGCCCCTGGTTTGAACTTTTCCCTTTTACCCCCTGGATTTCCTCTTTGAATTGCATAAAAATTAACGATTATTGGGTTCAATCTTTCTCACAGGATGGTGTGGGGAAGTACGTGATGTTATATTTGCTGAGAATGGAACTATCACTGTTGTATATCGACTCACCATTCGAGGATCTGATGGAGAGGTATGCTTCCTTCTCCATCCAATAATTGTGTTAAAAACATCATCCTCGCTATGAACACCTGACATTTTACATTTTGACCTCATAGTATTTGAGAACTTAGAGTTCAGGATTTTGATTTGGATTTCAAAGATAGTATAAATTGTGTAATAAAATATTTGGAAATGTAGCATTTATGATTATTTCTCAAATCCATGTATTTGTTAGATAGTGAATTTGAAATTCCTAATAAATTTTTTTTGTATTTAGTAAATCCTGGTTTTAAGCATTTCATATATATATATATATAGATATATTGAATGCTAACTATTTATCCTTAGTGTATGGATTTCATTCTTATAATTTACATAGCAAATGAAATCCAAATCCAAATTCTCAAATTTGTGTTCCCAAATGGAGCATTGAGCATTAAGTTAATTGAGAAATACAAGGGGAAAAAAACGAATAATTTCTTAGGAAGGAGCTATATTGACTGAGTTGCTTACAATCATTATTAAGGTTTTCTATTCAATCTAGTTCCATGTTTTCAGATTTTGTATTAGATGATGTTGGTTGCTTTCATGATCTGCACTTTGGAACTTAGAACTAGGGATATTTTGTTTTGTTTTTGTACAAAACTGTGGGGTTCCTGGGGGGATTCTCATAGATTGTATATTAAGACTGATCCATGGTAGCTTATGGGATTTAAAGTGAAAAGGAATAGAAATACAAATGATCCCTAAGATTCATACCTTGGGTTTCTTGATTGCATTACACAACCAAGAAGAAGAGAAAAAACCATTAGCATCATACATAAAATTCTTTAATTACATCACACCATCCAAAGTAGAACATCTGAGAAAGTACAATTTTAATTCCCCCCCCCCTCTTTTCTGTTCCTCTTTTTATCATTTTATCACAATATTCATATAAGAGCTCAAACCTATTGTCATTGATGAGAGAAAATCAAAATCATTTTGTAGCATAGCACACTACTAGTGCCACTTCCCTTTTCGGTGAGCACATGATAGTGCTGTCATATGAAACTAGTTACTGGTTTTTAGTTGAGTTGCAACGACATGGGCCAAAAATTTGGTAATCTAGCTTTGCTTAAACTTCAATAAAACTTGCTTTGGCTTTTGCTTGAATCAGTAATGATTATGTCTTTGTTGTCACATTGGAGACAGCAAGCTTCTTAAGCTTTAGTTTTTGTCTGAGCTTGAATCAGATTAGACCAAGAAGCTGAATCATATTAGATGATTATTCAAAACAATTTCATTATAAGATATGCCAACAAGTAAAAGAAACCAAAGTACCATATCCGTAGAATCATATAGAAATCCACCATTACTGTTCAATTTGGCAGGCCTCAAATTCAATACTTCAAATCATCCTTGAAGAATAACTTCCCTCAAATATTTAGTTCCATAATCTACAAAATCACAATATAGACTCACAATCCCATATTAACCCTGGTCGAAAGATAAAACTACTAAAACTATAATGTCATTTATATTAAGGAGCTTCTTTTAATGGAACAGCCAGTGTTTTTAGCTGACCTTATGAAGGATTTCATTATAGTCATCTACTGTATTGTTCTGCCAACATATATCCAACGGACATGGATATGGAGGTTGATCCTCCAAAATTTGGAACATTTAGGAAAAAATGAATGTAGCAATATTGGATTACTTCTGAACTTCTATTTAAAACTAGCCTGATTAGATTTCAAATTTTGTTATAGTCCCTTTGACTTGATGCTTGTGTGATGGTATTTACTGTTGTTGTTATGAAGGCGCATCGGGAGTCGACAGGCACTGTGTCAAGCAGCGACATCGACATAGGAGAAGATCCTGTGAGTGCAGCAGAAGAAATAGCATTCTGCAGGGCCTGTGCTCGATTTGGTCTTGGCCTGTATCTTTATCATGAACAACAATAGACACATGCACAAACATATACTGTACTCGTACTGTTGAATTACATTTCCATTACCAGACTATTAATTAAATTAAGGTTTTAAAATTAGCTTACTTTGAAATTATTTTATTTCTATTATTTATTGTAGAAAGGTATTTGCATGCATGCATTATAAGAACTAGTATATAGTGTCACTTGGACCTGTTACTAGTATAAATTTATATAAAAAAGTATCATTATATTTATAGAAAAAAAATATGACAAGATTTCTAGACTATAAATATCACTATTAAATATTGTTATATTTGTCATACATACAAATTTTAAAATTAATGTGATATTTCTATTTTATTGATCTAGAATAATGTCTTTATTAATATTTATTTAACAACTGAATTTTTTATGTAAATCAAATAATTAAACTTAAAGAATTTATTTGAAACTCGACGTACATAATTTGTAGGGGCGTAAATAAACAAAGTGAATAAACTTAGGCATGTTCTGTTCATTTATGTTCATGAAAAAGCTCGTTTATTGACTCGTTCGTTTATGTTCATGAACAAGTTCGTTTAATGATTCATTTATAAGTTCGTTTAATTTTTATTTTTTTACATTTTAAATACCGGTGAATGTATGGATTAAATTAAACACAATGAAATTTAGAATTTACACTAAGAAGTTTAAGCATCAGTGTCATAATTTTATGATTTTTTAGCTTGCAAATAAACATGTTCACGAACCTTAAATGAACATGTTCGAGAATCCTAAATGAACGAACACTAACACCTTAAAAAATAAATAACCGAACACGAACATGATATAAAAAAATTAAACGAAAACGAATCAAATATGAACACAATTAAAAATAAACAAATAAACACAAAAGTAACTTTATCTAAAGTTAACTGCGAGTCACAAAAAAAATCGATTAATTGCGTGATCAATTTATAACGAATATTATATATAAGAAAGTTTCTCTAAATTCATGTTTATATATATTATATTAGAAAGATGAGTGGTCTCAGTGGTTAAAGAAAATATTGTTCTTCCTAGAGATCCTGATTTCGAGTAGCTGTGTCTGTAGGATGTGTGTGCATTGTCAATAATTAAGAAAGATACTGAACAAATACTACCTTATAATCACTCCAGACTATTTAATATATATTATAGGGTGGTTATGTTGTACGAAAGCCTAATTTAATATATATATATTATCACAATTTTGTTTTTGTTTTTACATATTCTATTGAGATACACACACGTATATTATATACATGCAAACATTGTTTACTTGCAAATTGATGGAAGGTCATGACTTGTATGTTTGAAACTGGATACCTATCAGTAAGGCCTCAAAGTTTTGCACCTGAATCTGAAGCTATCCAGGAAGTGATCACATCCACCAGAATGTTAATGTCCTTCAAAGTTTCCGTTCGTATAATGCTAGACTCAACGCCTAATGTATTGTCGACCTCTTTGGCCACGGTCTCCCACTGTGTTCCTGCACTCAGATTCGCCAAAAGCTCACTTCCACGAGTAACTGCATCTGCTATCATGGGTGGAACCTCTGGAAGAACCTGCAACATGTATAATATGTATTACTAAAACTGCTTGCCTTCTCCAGCAAGTAAATGCAATTTCGACTTGCTCGAATCGTGCAGAGGCATTCTAAAATAATTTGTTACAAGCATACTTGGAGAGGAAGCCCATGATTTCCTGCTAACAATCGAATCGACATGTCTAGCATTGAACTGATGGCCGACTCCGAACTTAGCACCTTAGCCAAGTTTGGAGTTTCATCTATCGAGTCGTCATTGAACTTTATCAACAGATTTCTTGAAACACCGTAGTATGACTTTATCTGAAAAAAGATTGTGAAAATCAAAAAGCAGAAGTTTAAAAGATTATATCAGAAGGAGATTGCAGTTTGCAGTACTTTGTGATACAGTTAATAAAGTAAACCATCTCTATCGAGTCTCTAAGGTTTTGGGTTCCCTTTCTGAGCTTGAGCGAATCGACAGAATCAGCCCAACAAAGAAGAACAAGGGAAAAGCTATGCTACTCAACACATATTTTCCTGTCCATTTCTCTGTGATTTGATCTCAAACTCACAGATGCGGATAATTAGGTCTTTGTTCTTAGGCTTAGAACATGAAGTGAGAGGAATTGGCTAGACCAGTTACAGAATATCGGTCTGCAGAAAGATAACCTCAGTAGACCACCTCGTCGAGGGGACGCATCAATTAGCTAAAGGCCAAAGTCTTTCTATGGCTCAAAACTATCAACCATGAGGTCCAAGCATGAAACAAGCAGACAATAAAGTTTGTCTAGGATGAGAGACTTGATAAATTAACAAGAACATGAAGTGAGAGGAATTGGCTAGACCAGTTACAGAATATCGGTCTGCAGAAAGACAACCTCAGTAGACCACCTCGTCGAGGGGACGCATCAATTAGCTAAAGGCCAAAGTCTTTCTATGGCTCAAAACTATCAACCATGAGGTCCAAGCATGAAACAAGCAGACAATACAGTTTGTCTAGGATGAGAGACTTGATAAATTAACAAGAATAAACAACAATGTGTAATGCGACAACCTCGGGATAAAAGAGTCGGAGATTTTACGTACAAGTCGCTGAGCTTCTTCAGGTTTTGGAGTAAAATCATCTCTTCCATTGGCTAAGTCTATGTACAAGGGAGGAAGTTGCTCAACTAGAGGGAGAACCTGCTTTATAATGGGAGGACTAAGGCTTTCCATTTGCTTTACTGTCATCTCACCCTGCAAGTAGTTGGTATAAAACTGGATTAGTCATTCGTATCAGAACAATATATAAAGAATAAGCTCAACGAAGCAATAGCTGGCCTTCCAATGACAACGACAGTGGCGATTATCGTGGGTGGCCCATAACAAATGACTTGGCAGTAATTACATTTTCATGTCATATTGAGGAAGAAGAATAAGAACGATGAAGCTCAGAGGGATCATTAGTACCAAGGAGGTTCTAATTCTTGTTGACAGTGGTTCTACCAACAATTTCCTAGCTGATGACATTGTTACATAAGGCTAAGATTTTCTCCAAGATCGGTTTGCGATCTGGCTACCACCATATCAGATTCAATCTAGAAGACAATGCCAAGAATTCAGAACACATTTAGGACATCAACGCACCATCATCCTTTCAGGCTGCCATGAATGATCTTTTCAGACCTTATTTGTGAAAAGTATTCTATTCTTCGATGATATCCTTGATTACAGTAAGGATATGAAACAACATTGGTCACATCTCCGCATGGCACTCGATATGCTATTTTACTTGAACAACAAGCAAAAGCAACTGAGACCTTCGACCAGCTTAGTTGCTTGAATTGAGCATGAGAAGAATTATTTGCAGCATTGCATGTAATACAGGAAAAGATAGAGTTGAGCGTTTACCGCCATGCGGATTGTCGGCGACGATGCAATTCGTGATAGAAATGGTCCAATGCATTGGGCCACTGGTACAAGAACAGTTGAGAGCCATGGGATAGTTAAGCTTGCTTTCTGCAGATTATAGAATATATTTTCAATCTCATTTCAACTCATAAAGGAGATAAATGGTAGCTATCTTAGGATGGACGTAAGCTGAAAAATGCAGATTCAGAAGAAAAAAAATATCAACATGAAGTTGAACTACCTGGTTGTTGAATGCCATTAATACATTCCCACTCCTTTTCACGGCATATCTTGAACCTGTAAAATCAATTCATTAATAAAATAACCAGCTACATGCTTAGGCTTGAATAAGATAAAAGAAGATCTGTTAATACCGATCAAAAGGTGGATGACAGAACCCAAAGAATGGCCAATACCAAAAGTAGGAAGATCATGCTCCTATTTCATGAAGCTTAAAGTTACCTTTCAGTTTCATTTATAAAAGAACCCAAGAATTTAAAGGTGGCTTTCAACTGGAAAAAGAAATTAATTTTTGATATTACATTAACAACTCACTGTTTCTTGTAGAAACCGTAAGCACCTGCCGAATTTGGCCTGTACTTCATCGGCGATGAAGAAGTAATCAAATCCGCTAGCATATGGTGTTGCAATCACCAGAACACCCCTTCATACAGGAAAATGTTAAATAGTGGGGTATAAATAAACCGAGCTTCTATGTTGGTGTTCAATTGTTCATTTTTTGGTAAGGAAAAGAGAGTATCCTAAACAACAAAGTGGACTCTATGAAGAATGTTATGAAAAGAATTACAAATAAATTACAGGCACAATATATATATATATATATCTGCCATAATACTATCATACAAACCATGTCAACTTTGGAGGCCTTCAATCAAATTTTTGGAAAGAAGGCAACTAAAGAGTAGCGGTGGATAGGGATGTAAATGAACCAAGATTGAATGAATAAGATTATGTTTGTGTTCGTTTGTCTATTTTTAAAGGTGTTCATGTTAGGTTTGTGTTCGTGTCCGTTTATTTATTATTTGTTAATATGTTCATTTAATGTTCACAAACGTGTTTGTTTATATATTCAGTAACGTGTTCGTTTAGCGCTAATGAACATATTCTTTCAGCATTCTTCGCTTATCGTTCATTTATATGTTCAATTTTTAGTTTCACACTTTCATTTGCAAGCTAAAAAAAAATGATAAAATTACGTCACTAGTGTTTAAACTTATGTTCGCTTAATTTAATTCATATCTTTACCAATATATTTAAAAAGTAAAAAAATAAAAGGAAAATGAGAACCGAGTATATGAACTTGTTCATGAACATAAATGAATAAATCAATAAACGAGTTTATAAACGAACTCATAAACGAGTTTATAAACGAACTCATAAACGAGTTTGTTCGTGAACATAAACAAATCGAACACACATCTGTTCGTGTTCCTTCGTTTATTAAATGAACATAAAAATTTTTGTTTATACTCATTTATTTAGTTTAACAAACGAACAGAAACAAACGTTATATAAACAGTCCACCGGATGTTCTATTCATTTACACCCCTTCAGTGAAAGACACTTACTTTTCCGAAAGGCGCTCAAGAAACAAACGATAAGTAAGTTGGGGAGCTGCTCCAACAAATAGATCACCAAGAAAATGAACAACTGAATTCGGTTTCAAGCCTTTGGGTTTGAGAACCCATGCTCCCTGCATGCATAAAGCTAGCAATCAGGTGAGATTGTTGAAGATGGAGTTTGTAAAAAAAGATGGGTTCTCAAATTTTAATAAACTTGTGAAATGGTTTATGCCTTCTAATGAATAAACATGATATGATACCCAAACAACACGACTTGACAAAGTATCAAGAAAAAAAAAAAGGTAAAGTACACAAATGTCCTCCAATTATAAGATATTGCTTTGTTAAGTCCTTTAATTAATTAAAGTTATAAAATAATCATCTGACAGTAAGGTGTTGTTTTGTTGAGTCCCTCGACTATTAAAAGTTATAAAATAGTCTCATGACTATTCATATATTTCAAATTCGTCATTTTCCGTTAAAAAATTATTATTGTCTCAATTGGTCGTTAACATGCTCACTGAGATGTGATAAAAATCTGATTTCATAACTGTTTGAGTTGTATTTTGTCGATCAAGTTTTTATTTATATTATGTCATTGAGTCAGTTTTTGAAATATTATGTTGTCGATCTAGTGCTTGAAAACGACGATGGTGTCAATAGACATCATTAGAGTATGATTTTATTATATCTCAATCAACATGTTAACGTTCAGATTAGACGACTGTCAAATTTTTAACGAAAAAATATGAGTTTATAATATATGAGTAGTCGGATGACCATTTTATAACCTTTAATAGTCGAGAAACTCAACAAAGTAACATCCAATAGTCGGAAGACAATTTTGTAATTTATAATAGTTGAAGACTCAATAAAATAACCCTCTATAATCGGGACCATTTGTATACTTTACCATAAGAAAAAAAAAGAATGGGATAAAACCTCGACTTGGTTCCAATCACTTGAAGCACCCCAAGCACCTGACGATTGCCTAACGGTGTCTGTAAGTAATCTGAAAACGCAAACACATCAGGAGAAGAACTGCAGGAGTGGAAGAAGAGAAAGGACATAATATACCTCTCGATACCATGATAGGGCTGATTCTGTATCTGGTTGCTGCGGTTGGATTCATTGTAGTTACATAAGATTGTTCGAGTCGAACGGGGACGAATTGCGGGAGAAAAAGGGAATTTGAGAATGGATTCGGAGGAGCATATTTTGTGAGTCTGGTGAATTGGAAATGGAGATGGAGGCATGAACAAGCGGTTAGCCATATCATTAAGGTTCTAGGTACAGGACAGGGTCTAGCTGTTAAGATTTGAAATTGCTTTGGTTTTGAGTCATTATATGTTTCTGTTTGTCTTGTCCCACCCGCAAGCGGTCATGCCAAAGGCGCTTCATTATCTCTGCTCTCCACCATCATGCATGTCGCGTTTCCGTTTCACACTTTCACTGCAACTATGTTTTGGTCGGCTCGGAATATATTTGGGTAAAGTAAACAAATGGTCTCTGAGAATTATTTTTATTGAATCTAGTGACTATTAAAAATTATAAAATGATTCATTGATTATAGAGAGTTGTTTTGTTGAGTCATTTACTATTAAAAGTTACAAAATGATCATCAAACTATTCATTGTGTTCTAAAATCATCATTTCTTTTTAAAAAAATTGACGACGGTCTAGACTGGTTGTTAACTTACTGACTGAAATATGATAAAATTTGATCCCATAATCTCAAACGACAATCATATCTCAGTCGGCAAATTAATGTTCATCTCAGACAATCATTAATTTTTTAACGAAAAATGAAGAGTTTGGAATAAAATGAATAATCGAATGACCATTTTGTAACTTTTAATAGTCGAGTGACTGAACAAAACAACTCTCTGTAGTTGGGTGATCATTTTGTAATTTTTAATAGTCAAGAAACTCAACAAAATAATATCCTATAATTGGGAGACCATTTGTGTACTTTACCCAATATATTTTAGCTTTAAATATTAACTTTTGGGTAAATTACTTAAATAGATCCTGCACTTTGGTGCTTACATTTTAATCACTGAACTCTTAAGAGTTGAAACCATTAAATGGTCTTAGCGATAAAAGAAAATTTTATTTTCTCTAAAAGTCTTGAGTTCAAGTAGTTGCGTCTTCGGAGTGCGTGAGGACTGTCAATAGGTTAAAAAAGTTATGAACAAATATTATCTTGTAATCATCTAATACTATTAAGAAAAAATTGGTTTCAATGAAGTTTTTATTTTCATTTCAATCAACTGGATAAAAATTGCAGAAAATATATATGATTTTGATGAGAATCAAATCTATACTCTTAACCATTTGAATAAGTTAAAATATTGTTATAATATTAATAAAAATAATATTTAAATTAAATTGATGTTGTGTTACTCTCACCACAAATCCAGGGACGTCTTGTAAATTTTGGTGGCTCTATGCCATAACAGTAAAATATGCCTTTTAAAACTAAAATATTATTTAATGCGGGTCTTGGACTTGAAAATTCTTGGGTCAAACATCCTAAATACACATATATACAAAAGACTTAAAAATATTTGGAGGGCCTTACAAAAATTGGGCCCTGTACGGTTGGGCAGCCCGCACAGGCCCAAAACCGGCCCTGCACAAATCATTTATAGAGATCAATCACTACACACAACATCTTGGATTCCTTTTAAGATGGTTGCTGACATGTGTGGTAGATCTTTTTATATATCAGCTATTGGTTATACTGTAGTAGATCTTAAGGAAAATTTATTTTGAATGTTAAATTTAAATAAAATTATTTTGGGTATCAAATTTAGAAATTATCTGAAGAAATTTTCTTAAGCGCATGAAAATGAATAGCTGGTGCCATTTTAGGTTTAAGAATGACAATATTTTATTAAAATTGTGTTAATTTTATTTTTTTTAAAATTTATATTAATTTTATAAAGAAATTTTCTTTTCAAAAATTTGACACGCCTCATTGTATGCTGGCTCCACCAGTGGTAGATCCCTCCGTTAAAAGATATTCGTTTATGCAAACGTGAGATGTCTTCGTGGGATTCCTCTACCTTACATAAGTAAATCTAAAATGATACCTCTATTGATATGTCTTTTTTCGAACAACGTCAAAACCCTTCTTAGTGAAAGCATATACAACGTGAGACATTGTGGTTATATTATTTTACTGGTATAGTATGAGATAAAATGATTGTATCCCTCCATTGACAGTAACTTCGAGACATCATCTAACATTCATTCACTGAGTGAAGAGCGAGATGTCTTCTTGAAGAGATGTTTTTATCACAGTATAGTAGACCCCTCTATTAAAAATCACTCATCTACAAAACATAAGGTGCCTTCGTATGATTCCTCCACTTTAAATGTACCGCTAAAGGGAATATATTAGGATGCCTCTATATGAGATGTCTTTGTTTCATACAATGTTGGAAGCATCTTTAGCGATAGTCTCTGGTAGCATAACTTGAGATGACATAGTTATATCTCATTGCTAGTATAGTGTGAGATATCACGATTGTATCATTCTATTAACAGTAGCTTCGAGATGTCATCCAACATCTCTTCATTAAGTGAAGAGTGAGATGCCTCCTTAGAGAGATACCTCTGTTAAGATGTCCCATTGGGAAGCCTTCTCGTGTACAATGTGAGAAGCCTCCTATTTAAGAGACCATGCAAATGCAGCAAGGGATGACACATTTCTTGAAAGTGTAAGATGCTCATCGAATATAGTGTAGTAGATCTCCTCATTTACATATATTTCTTAAAAGTGTGAGATGCTTCGTTAAATCTAGCATGGTAGATATTTTCAATTCACATATATTGCTTGAAAGCGTAAGATACTCTATCGAATCTGACAGGCTAGATCCTTACGCCTATACATATCTCTTGAAAGCATAAGACATTTCATTGAATATGATGTTGTAGATCCTCCTATTCACACATTTTTTAAAAGCGTGAGATCCTTCTATTGATTTGGCTTTGTTCGTACAACATCAAAAGTCTTCTTAATAATTGCCTATGCTAACATTACGTTTGACTTAATGGTTATATCTCGTTGCTAGTATAGTGTGAGATGTAAAGATTGTATCCCTCCATTGACAACAACGTCGAGATATCATCCAACATCCATTCGTTAAGTGAAAAGCGAAATGCTTTCTTAAAGAAATGTATCTATCACAATGTAGTAGATCCCTCTGTTAGAAGACACTCATCTATACAACATGAGACGCCGTTACAGGATTCTCTACTTTAAATGTATTTGTCGAGGTGAATCTACAAGAATTCTTTCATAAGATCCATGTTGTTATTGTTGTTGTTTTTTTGGAGACACAAGGAAAGGCGATGGCTAACACCTTATTTTACCATTCTCCAACAGCTTCTTCTATTCTCGATCGTCTCCTAACTCGGGCCTAGTACCCCAAGAGATTGTGTAACATCCCAAAAGTCAGGTCAATGACCAAAATAGAATTTTGGTAAATTTAGTGACCAATTTCAGAAAAGATGGAAAGTTCAACAATTTAAATGAAAAGTGTTGATGTTGGATTTAATAACAAAGTTTGAAAGTAATAAGGGTATTATGGTCATTTTTCATGGAAGATTTTTTATTTTCCCTTTATAAAGGGTAATAAGCACGTGAGAAAGGAAATAATTTCTCCAGAGCCTTCTTCAGTCTTCTTCTTTCTCCTCTCCACCGTGGAGTCTTGTATAAGGTAAGTGGGTCTTCAGTTGGTTAATTATTTCGTTTTAAAGCTTGTTTTGATTCTTGGGATGTTAAGAAAGATTAAGGAAAGCTTTAGGTGGCTTAAAACTTAAGGATTAACAAGTTATGAGAAATTAAGAAAAATGAGTTTTTAAGTGAATATTTGAAATAGATGGAGTTAATAGAGTTTGAAGATGAATTTGACTTGTCGATGGTTAAATTACGGAATATGAAGTATTAGAATTAGATTTAGAACATATTGGAAATTGAGTGTAATTCTTGAATTCCGTATAAATGATAGGATGTTGAGTTTAAAGAAGTGATTATTGAGTAGAAATGAGTTTAAGTGTGTGTATGAAAGTTAGGAATATTAAAGGAGGTAAAATATGAAGAGTTGAGATGAAAAGAGAGTGAATTTCGTGCTTAAAATGGAATTTATGGGTTGTGTGCATCGATGCATCTTTAATGTGCATCGATGTATCTTTAATGTGTATCAATGCACTCTCAAATAAATGAACATCGAATGCAATTAGTGCATCGATGCACCCCCTTAAGATGAAAACATCAAATGCAATTTGTGTATCGATGCATAAGCAGTGCATCGATGCACTCGTTAAAGGATGCATCGATACACTGTAGAGTGCATCGATACCTACATTATTTAAGAGATGAAAGTAACATTTCTTTTAGTCTAAAAAGTGATAGATTAGAATATATTAATTAGTATACTGATATGTATCAATGTATTACTATGTAGATATAGAAAGTAATCTTGTTCCGAAACAATCTAAAGGTTAGGATCGAGTCAAGCAAGCAAGGGTAAGGTGAGTGCGTATTAGTTGATATATTATGATGAATGGAAATAAGACTTGTTAGAAGTCTATTTCCTATATTAACATACATATAAGCATGTTATTGATATGAGCATAATTGTGATATATTATTGTATATGTGGTATGATATGTGTGAATGTATGTTATTGTTATGTGATTAAGATATCAATTATGTGATAATGAATGGTATGAATATATGGAAGGTGAAGTAAGCTAAAGTATGTGAACATATGTATATAAGATAAGCCATGTGGATATGATTTATAAGAGTATGAGTGATATGATAAGAACATATGTTTATGTGATATGGCTATGTGAATTTATGGTAAACATAATAATGATACCCATGTTACGTGTCATGAGAGCTAAAGGTATAATTGGCATGCCAAGAGTCGAGGGTTCTACGTGGTCCTTCGGGACATATATGTAATTCTGTGGAACATATATGTAGAACTTCGGTACACTTATTTGGTCCATTTTATTATGTTTATGGTTCTTAAGGAGTGGTCATTCGAGACATAGTAGTCATTCGGGACATAGTGGTCATTCGGGACATAGTGGTCATTCGGGACAAATATATAGTGCCCCTAGTGGGAATTTATTTGAGCTGTGGTGACATCATCAGTGCACAACCTCAATGAACTCACATATCTTTAGTTCTCCAAGATGTACATGGGCCAATAAAGAAATAATATACAGAAACTTAACATGATTGTCATAT